CTAAGCGGGTGCAGGTGGCCCTACATCGTGCAGAGCGTAGGCGGAGGTATAGGTGCCGTTGCTCAGGAGTCGCTTGATTCCCTTCTTGTCTCTCATGTCCTCCTTCCAGTAGGGGCAGCGCGACAGGATGTAGTACACCTGGAGGGAGGGGAGGGAGACACCCGCAGTCAGACACCCAGGACACATCTGGGGACCCCAGCCCTGGTCCTAAGGGGTTGTGGGGGTTTCTGCTCTCCATTTCCACCCCTCCTCTCCCAGTCCCTTTACTGATCTAGGGATTTTCCCAGACCAGTAACCACTCAATGACTTTAACTCTGCCACATGCACACGCCCCATGTCCCACCCACCGCTGCCCAATTAGTGCTCCACCCAGCCTCGCCCCGCCCACACCCACCCATGTCCCACCCACCAGCACCCCAGCAAAACGCCACCCAATGCCCCGCCCACACCCACTCCCCGTCCCTGCCCCTCCCCTGGAGCCCTGCACTCACAATCCTGTTGCGCGTGGACGGGGGGAAGAAGGTGTCCTTGTTGTCGATGAGGAAGAAGTCGGGCTTGTCCTTCTCGAAGGGGGACGTGAAGTAGTCGGGCTCGGGGTTCATCACCTCGTCGGGCAGGCGGAAGGGCTTGAAGAGCCACTGCAGGGGGATCTCGCGGGAGTTGGGGATGTCGTTCTGCTTGAAGGGCACCTTGATCTTCAGCACCTCTGCGTAGGTGGCCAGCACCTCCCAGGGGGCGTGCACCTTCAGGAAATACGTCTTCCCATCTTCGGACTCCTGCAGGTGTGAGGCAGACACCAACGGGATCATGTGTCTGCTCTTGAAACCTGGGGCTCTCTGCATCCCCAATCACATCTGCACCTCCCTGGTAACTGCAGCTCCTCGACAGCTGCACCTCCCAGACAACTGCCGTTCTATCCAACAACTGCACCTCCTGGAGAGCTACACCTCCCTGATAGCTGCGTCTCTCCCTAACGACTGCACCTCCCTGACAGCTTCGTCTCTCCCTGACAACTGCATTCCCCTGACAACTGCACCTCTTCCCGACAATTGCACCTCCCTAACAACTGCACCTCCCTGACATCTTCGTCTCTCCCTGACAACTGCATTCCCCTGACAACTGCACCTCTTCCCGACAATTGCGCCTCCCGGACAGCTGCGCCTCCCTGACACTTGCATCTCCCTGGCAGTTGCACCTCCCTGACAACTGCACCTCCTTGATAGCTGCACCTCTCGCTGATAACTGCACCCCCCTGACTGCTTCGTCTCTCCCTGGCAACTGCACTCCCCTGACAGCTGCACCACTTAGACCTCTGCATCTCCTTCACAGATGTATCTTTGTGGCCACTGCACCTCTTTGACATGGATCAGACCAGCCAATAACATCGACAGAGACGTATGTCTCGACCTCACACTGCACATATATAGCTCACATCCTGCAGGATCTAAACCGATGATGGCGTGTATCACTGGCCTGTGCATAAATTGCAGTGAACTGACTGATCAATAATCCAACTGAATTATTGGAGTATGTTAGCCTAGGGAGCAAGGGTCAGGGTCTGGACTCTGGAACGTCGAGATTTAGCAGTGTGCCCACTTGGAAACTCAGATCGTTCCAGTAAAACATAAGGCTGTATAATTAGGTAGAAATGTTAAGTTGCATTGTTAGCCAAATAAATTAATAATAACAACATCTTAGAAACTCTGAACACCTGGAGTGTTATGGGGAGAGTGGAGAGATGGAAAATGTTCTCCAATTATCCAGGGTTAACACCTTTCGTTACGTGTCTTTTAGTAAACGATCATCAAAGCTAAGCAAATTAAGCAATCAAGGGTGAAATGAGCAAACTTTCACGAGCTGTGTCAAGGGCTTTTAACAGATCACACTGGAAATATTGCAGTCTCATTCATACCTGTAACCATATCGTTACTTAACACTTGACCTTCTATGCAAATATGAATGTATAGTGTTGTTCCTGTTGGGTTTTTTCCTTCTGTCCGTCTGTACGCCAACACTGTTGCTGTAAAACAACTCTCCCCCCGGGGATAATAAAGATACTCTCTCTCTCTGCTTAGGCTACTACTACAGTACATCAGTCGACATGGAAGACAGGCCTCTGAGTGCACAGCCACAGAACAACCACCAGAGGGAGCCCCTGGGCGACGGTGTGCATCCACACCCATCCAGCAATTCCACTTACACTCTTGTCTTCCGTCTCCAGCTCCAGTCCGGCCTTCTGCAGATTGCTCTCATACTCCTTCCTCCTCTCCTGGAGAGACGGAAACAAGGCAGAATGAAACAGGGCTCCTCATGAGATAGATGCACACAGCCAGCCACATCCCTGCCAGCAGCCATATTGCCCTGGTCAGGGTGAGCCTGGTAATATCCTGGTGAGCCTGGTCAGTACCTGGATGGGAGACTCCTGGGAAAAACTAAGGTTGCTGCTGGAAAAGGTGTTAGTGGGGCCAGTAGGAGTGTGAGAGAGTGTGTGTGTGTTTTGTAGTGTCTGGTGTACCGGAGGCATTTCAGAAGACAGTGCAAGAATCAGTGCTGAGCCCAAGGTGAGGACAAGATGAACTGTCAGGCTCTCAGCGCTTCAGAGCAGAGCCAGTCATTTCACAGGAAGAACACGTTTCCTGGACCTGTTACAGCCAGACAGAGATACTTATGAGGCTGGCAACCTAAATCAGCAACGCACACAGGTCAAACTCGGGAATATATATACTCACAGCTCTTCTCAACTGACTTTCACAGCTCTTGACATCTTTGGGAGAACCACAAAGAGGGGTGAAGGTTAAAGGTCAGTTCGAGGTAGAGATGATATGAGGCCGCCAGAAGCCGACACAACACGGTGTTGTACCTTCACATTTCAACACAGGTTCATTTACTGAGCCACTCCCTGTGTGACGAAGTCAATAAGGAAGGGCTCAAACCAGTCCCAAATTCAAAAGACTCGAGTAGCATTCTGAAGAGGCGTTCATTGCAAACACCTCAACGAGGTGTGATCAGTTTGTCCTGTCATTATCAGGCTGTCATCCTCAGCATTTGCACAGGATTTGCCTTTCAGTAGTGTTGTCAACAGCTCGGTGACTGTATACATCTGCCATCGAGAAGAAAGTCAGGAAACAGGATAATTTCAGGTTACTGGTAGTCGAACATTCCTATTTGAATTCGCCGTTTGTTCAATGAGAATGGAAGTTTAAGGACTGAAGGGCTTGGTTTAGAAGCAGTTTTGTGATTCTGACAGCCACAATTTATTGTGCATTCAGTACAGAAGTGTGTATGAGTATTTTTCCATGCACGTCAGATGCCAAAGGGCTGGGAGAACCATTCTGTGTGGATGGTTGATATCGGGGCTCACCTGCTTCTTCTCCCCATCTTTGGTGTGGTCATCCAGGTAGGACAGCACGAAGTCGATCCTGCGCACACCGTCCCTGAAGAAGACCGAGTCCTTGCTCTGGTGCTGCCCGTCGATCTGCAGGACACAGACAGGCAGAGGACCCCCGTCAGGCACCCCCAGACGCCAGGGTGCTTCCCCAAAGGAAACACCATCTCTGGGGAACCTGCCAGCAGCATGCGCCCCCACCCCAGCCTGTTTCGCCCAATTCGGGGTCCCCCCCCGGCAGCAGGCTCGGTGGGTCATGCCCGTGAGAAACGCCACACAGCAGACAGAGAGAAACCGAAGACCCGCAGCACCGGGCGCCTCATCCTCAGAGGCAGCAGAAGCCCACTGCGAGCTCGGCCTCCTGCCAGGCTGCCCCGGTGGTGCCCATGCAAGCCAGCCCCGCTGCACCATGCTGGAGATGTGCCCTGAGCTGCGCTCGTCTCTGTAGCCAGAAAACCCACACCCCTTCTCTCAAGAGTGAGAAACAAAAAGCTCCCCCAGACTTGCCTTGTTTGCTCCATGGCGACTCTGAAATTATCAAGAGAGAAATCAGGCTCTCTGATCGCCTTTTTGCAGCCACAGTTTCTATTCAAATACCCCAGACCACATCCAGAAAGCTTTCTTTTTGAAAGATATCTTATTACTACTGTTAAGGCTTGGGTCTGTCTAGGTTTTCATGTCGCCCCACGGCTCACTGCTGGTAGCCCCACTGAAGCTCAGCAGTGTGAGCCTGGTCAGTACCTGGAGGGGAGACTCCTGGGAAAGCTGAGGCTGCTGCTGGAAGAGGTGTTAGTGGGGCCAG